ACGTGGAACGGGCGGAAAATGGCCGCGGACCACGTGGCATGGGCGGAAAATGGCCGCGGACCACGTGGCACGGGCAGAAAAATGGCCGCAGACCACGTGGCATGGGCGGAAAATGGCTCGTAAGTTGAGGCGAGTTTGTAAGTAGAGGTAAATTTTTGGGGCCAGAGCTGGTCGTATCTTGAAAATTTCGTAAGTAGGGGCGTTCGTAAGTAGAGGTACCACGGTATTTGCTCAACTGGAAATTGAATAAAGAAACAACAAACTCTTTTTCTTAGGAAGAATAAGTACTAATCTTCACCTTCTAAAATCAATGGGAAAATCATCCAACAGTGATATCACAATTGTATAAGACAATTTTGTAGTCAAAACATAATGTAGTATACAGAGAGGAATGTACAAAGTGCATAGAAAGGAGACAGAGAATCTTGGAGGTGCTGATCTGATAAATCTCCATTAAAATTAACTCATTAGCTAATGGAATTGATCTTGGTACCCAGGTTGTATTTTAAAGATCTTAAAGAACATTTACTGTTCCTTTCATTCTCTCCCAAGGAGGACACCATCAAGAAAATGAGAATTATCAGGAGTCAGATATGGTGACATCAATAACAATCCAGCACAAAGTGGGAAAACAGATACTTCAAAGACAATGGGGATCAAAAGCACATGAGGAGAACCACAATAGGTATATGGGAGAGAAATCATCCAGTTTGCAGTGTCCAAAATTTCATGAGCTCCTCATCCAGCAGGCTAACACAAGAAATAGAAAGTCGAAAACATTCAAAGATAAGTCCGACTCTGATAACCAGTGTGCAAACCAGAGTAGAACCAACAAGTATGAATGGAAAAAGCCTGAAGCATGCTATAATCAAAATCTCCCTCCTCCTATATTTCAGCAAATTCATAGTACAACTAAACCTCATAAACGCATGAAGTATGGAAAGAGCTTCAAGCATAGAAGTGCTCTTTTTTCCCACAGCAGGACCTACACTGGGGAGAAATGGTATCAGTCCACAGAATGTGGAAAGAACTTCAGCACAAACAGTCACTTTGCTTTCCATAAAAGACTCCACGCTGGGGAGAGATTATATGCATGTAGTGAGTGTGGAAAGAGCTTCAGCCAGAATAGTAGCCTTACACCTCATCAGCAGGTGCACACAGAAGACAAGACATACAAATGCATAGAGTGTGAAAAGGGTTTCAAGGATGGAAGTGAAATTAATTTTCATAAAAGGATCCATACAGGTGAGGAACCATATCAATGCAAAGAATGTGGAAAGTGCTTCAGCCAGAGTGGCATCCTTACTTCACACCAGAGGATTCACACAGGAGAGAGACCATATCAATGCATGGATTGTGGGAAGAGTTTCAGTTATCATAGTTCTCTTATTTCCCACAGAAGGATCCATTCAAGAGAAAGACCATATCAATGCATGGATTGTGGAAAGAGCTTCAAGAGCAGCAGTAATCTTACTTCCCATAAAAGGATCCACACAGAAGAGAAACCACATAAATGTACAGAATGTGGAAAGAGCTTCAAGAAGAATGGTAACCTTATTTCCCACAGAAGGATCCATTCTGGGGAAAAGCCATATAAATGTATCGAGTGTGGGAAGAGCTTCAGTAAAAGTAGTAACCTTACTTCCCATAACAGGAGCCACACAGATGAAAGGCCATATGAATGTATGGAGTGTGGAAAGAGTTTCAAATCAAGTAGTCAACTTATTTCCCATAAGAGGATTCACACAGGGGAAAAACCATATAAATGCCTGGAATGTGGGAAGAGCTTTAAATGGAATAATCAACTAACTTCGCATAGAAGGAGTCATTCAGGGGAAAACCCATATAAATGCAAGGAATGTGGAAAGTGCTTCAAGCATAATAGTAACCTTATTTCCCACAGAAGGATCCATTCTGGGGAAAAGCCATATAAATGTATCAAGTGTGGGAAGAGCTTCCGTAAAAGTAGTAACCTTACTTCCCATAATAGGAGCCACACAGATGAAAAGCCATATGAATGTATGGAATGTGGGAAAGGTTTCACATCAAATAGTCAACTCACTTCCCATAAGAGGATCCACACAGGAAAGAAACCATATCAATGCCTGGACTGTGGGAAGAGCTTCAAGTGGAATAATCAACTTACTTCCCATAGAAGGAGTCATTCTGGGGAAAACCCATATAAATGCATAGATTGTGGAAAGAGCTTCAGCACCAGGAGTTGCCTTACTTCCCATAATAGGATCCACTCAGAAGAGAAACCTTATAAATGCATGGAGTGTGGAAAAAGCTTTAAATGGAGTAGTCACCTTACTTCCCATCAAAGGATCCATACAGGAGAAAAACCATTTAAATGTATGGAATGTGGGAGGAGCTTCAGCAAAAACTGTTCCCTTACCTCCCATAAAAGAATCCACACAGGCGAGAAACCATATCAATGCAGGGAATGTGGAAAGAGCTTCAGCCAAAATGGCATCCTTATTTCACATCAGAGGACTCACACAGGCGAGAGACCATATCAGTGCGAGTGTGGGAAGAATTTCAGTTACCGTACTTCTCTTATTTTCCACAGAAGGATCCATTCAGGGGAAAGACCATATCAGTGCATGGATTGTGGAAAGAGTTTCAAGCACAGCACTTCCCTTACTTCTCATAAAAGGATTCACACTGGGTGGAAACCATATCAATGCATGGATTGTGGAACGAGTTTCAAGAACAGCAATAATCTTACTTCTCATAAAAGGATCCACACAGGAGAGAAACCATATCAATGCATGGATTGTGGAAAGAGCTTCAGCAACAGAGGTTACCTTACTTCCCACAAAAGGATTCACTCAGAGGGAAAAGCATATAAATGTATGGATTGTGGAAAATGCTTCCATGAACATTTTTCTTTAACTAGGCACAAGAGGATTCATTCAGGGGAAAACCCATATAAATGCAAGGAATGTGGAAAGAGCTTCAAGCAGAATTGTAATCTTATTTCCCACAGAAGGATCCATTCTGGGGAAAAACCATATAAATGTATCGAGTGTGGGAAGAGCTTCAGTAAAAGTAGTAATCTTACTTCCCACAGTAGGAGCCACACAGATGAAAGACCATATAAATGCATGGAATGTGGAAAGAGTTTCAAATGGAATAGTCAACTCACTTCCCATAAGAGGATCCACACAGGGGAGAAACCATATCAATGCCTGGACTGTGGGAAGAGCTTCAAGTGGAATAATCAACTTACTTCCCATAGAAGGATCCACTCATGGGAAAATTCATATACAGCATAGATTGTGGAAAGAGCCTCAGCACCAGGAGTCGCTTTACTTCCCATAGTAGGATCCACTCAGAAGAGAAACCTTATAAATGCATGGAATGTGGAAGAGCTTTAAATGGAGTAGCCACCTTACTTCCCATCAAAGGATCCATACAAGAGGAAAACCATTTAAATATATGAAATCTGGGAGGAGCTTCAGCGAGAGTTATTTCCTTATTTTGCATAAAAGGATCCACTCTAGTGAAAGTGAGGAATGGAGTGTGGAAAGAGCTTCAAGCAGAGTGGTGATCTAGCTCCCCATAACAGGATCCACACAGGAGAGAAACAATATGAATGTACAGAGTGTGGAAAAAGCTTCAGCACAAGCTGTCATCTCATAGTAGGATCCATGCATATAGCCTGGAAAGGATTTCAAAAGGAATAATCAGCTTACTTCCTATAGAAAGTCCCATTCAGAGGAAAAGCCAAATGTAGCAAACGTTCACTGCTTTCTGACAGATGTCAAGCTGCCAGGTCGTATAGTCGGTTCACCATCTTGAGAGAGAGATACTTGCCTGAGCACTTAAGTGAAGGAGATTTCCCCAGATTTGTTCCTTCTAGAGAAAAAGAATTCCCGCCTTGCAAAAAGACTGCAGGGAGAACTTGGGGAGAAAAGAGTTGCTGCGAACAAGATTGGGAAGAGCAGCCTTAGAATGGTCAGACTGGATCCCCTGGGATCATCCAGTGAAGGGATCCAGGAATACTTGGGACAGAAGGGAATCTGGGTTAGGCAACAATTACATCATGTAGGATAAATTTTAAAAAATGTTCTGATGAAGATTACTTTTCTTTTTCTTTTAGTGTTACAGTCTTTATTTTCTCTGATGTTTATTGTATCTATGCAAGTTCAGTTATTGTGTGTTTGATCCATCTTGGGATTCCTGAACAGATCCATCATACCTTGTGACCTGTTCCAAGTTTCTATTCTCCTTTATTGCTTTAATGAGAAATTCCTTTACAGTACTGTTTATGATATTACCAGCAGTGTATTTTTTTTCCAACTGCAATGACAGTTTTGACCCCTGATTACCTAAAATTAAAAAAGGAATTTTTTACATTCTCTTTTTTTTCTTTTCCCAATAAAGTTGACCTTAAATTGTATCTTGTGATATCAGTCTACCTCAGAAAAGGAGGGAGATCGATATCCCTCATCAGATGTCTAAAAGCTACAAGGAACAGGTGGTAGGCCTATAGCATTTATTTCATTAGTATGACCTTGTTCACCTGCCAGTTAGGTGCCAAGGCTGAAGGGGTCCCATCTTTCTCCCACACTGGCGTTAGAGGGGAAAATGCCAGGTGAAGTCACCCCCTAGAAAAGCGGGTGGCAGCATTAACCACCAAGCAGCTACACGAAGGCAGGTAGGTGGGCCAGGGAGACCCAAAGGGCTTCGGGGGGAAGAGGATTGAGACTCCCAACCTTTCATCCTGGGGTCTCAGCCTGGCAGCTGCACCATACAACAGATGGAGTCACCAACTGAGAATTCACTCAGGAGATAAATCATATGGGGAAAGCTTTAATTATTTTACTGCTCTTACTCTGAATCAGAGGACCAAGCAGTAGTAATATCAGTGAGCATCCTGTGGAAAAATGATTGACATTTAATTGTAGTTCCCCTTCAAAGAATCTAGTGTGAATTCCAGAAGATTCCATCCTAAAATATCCTAGCTACTCCAGAGTTGATCTAGGGGTTCTGAGGACATCAACCTTCTGATGTTGCTCTGGGGTAACACAGGTTTTGAGAAGCATCAAGCAACCCACAGTGAGGCTAAATCAGACCAATATTTGTGCACATATTTAGCGACCACAATTGGGACCAGCAATTCAGCTTTAAGCGAAGCAGTCACTAAGTGAAACCATGACTGTGCTTATGATGTTACTTCAGCTTTCCTTTGCTTTACAGACCCGCAAAGGATGTAAATGAGATGATTGGTCACAAAGTTAGATTATTATCATCATCGTAACTACAACTACGTCACTGTATGAGGCAGTCACTAAACGAGGACTGGCTATACAGTGGTACCTCGGGTTACGAATTTAATTCGTTCCGTGACTCTGGTCGCAGCCCGAATTGGTCGCAACCCGGAGCAAATTTCCCCATAAGTTTCAATGTAATTA